TCACCCGTAGCGATGCTTAAGTCTGTCCGAATCATGTTAGCAATTGCCGCATTTTATGATTATGAAATTTGGCAGATGGATGTCAAAACTGCATTCCTGAATGGATTTCTGGAAGAAGAGTTGTATATGATGCAGTCGGAAGGTTTTGTCGATCCAAAAGGAGCTAACAAAGTGTGCAAGCTCCAGCGATCCATTTATGGACTGGTGCAAGCATCTCGGAGTTGGAATAAACGCTTTGATAGTGTGATCAAAGCATTTGGTTTTGTACAGACTTTTGGAGAAGACTGTATTTATAAGAAAGTGAGTGGGAGCTCTGTAGCATTTCTGATATTATATGTGGATGACATATTGCTAATCGGAAATGATATAGAATTTCTGGATAGCATAAAGGGATACTTGAATAAGAGTTTTTCAATGAAAGACCTCGGTGAAGCTGCTTACATATTGGGCATTAAGATCTATAGAGATAGATCAAGACACTTAATTGGACTTTCACAAAGCACATACCTTGACAAAGTTTTGAAGAAGTTCAAAATGGATCAAGCAAAGAAAGGATTCTTGCCTGTGTTACAAGGTGTGAAGTTGAGTAAGACTCAATGCCCGACCACTGCAGAAGATAGAGAGAAAATGAAAGATGTTCCCTATGCTTCAGCCATAGGCTCTATCATGAATGCAATGCTGTGTACCAGACCTGATGTGTGCCTTGCTATAAGTCTAGCAGGGAGGTACCAAAGTAATCCAGGAGTGGATCACTGGATAGCGGTCAAGAACATCCTGAAATACCTGAAAAGGACTAAGGATATGTTTCTCGTATATGGAGGTGACAAAGAGATCATCGTAAATGATTACGTTGATGCAAGTTTTGACACTGATCCGGACGATTCTAAATCGCAAACCGGATACGTATTTACATTAAACGGTGGAGCTGTCAGTTGGTGCAGTTCTAAACAAAGCGTCGTGGCGGGATCTACATGTGAAGCGGAGTACATAGATGCTTCGGAAGCAACAAACAAAGGAGTCTGGATGAAGGAGTTCATATCCGATCTAGGTGTCATACCTAGTGCATCGGGTCCAATGAAAATCTTTTGTGACAATACTGGTGCAATTGCCTTAGCAAAGGAATCCAGATTTCACAAGAGAACCAAGCACATCAAGAGACGCTTCAATTCCATCCGGGATCTAATACAAGTGGGAGACATAGAGATTTGCAAGATACATACGGATCTGAATGTAGCAGACCCATTGACTAAGCCTCTTCCACGAGCAAAACATGATCAGCACCAAGGCTCCATGGGTGTTAGAATCATTACTGTGTAATCTAAATTATTGACTCTAGTGCAAGTGGGAGACTGAAGGAAATATTCCATAGAGGCAATAATAAAGTTATTATTTATTTCCTTATATCATGATAAATGTTTATTATTCATGCTAGAATTGTATTAACCGGAAACGTAATACTTATGTGAATACATAGACAAACAAAGTGTCACTAGTATGCCTCTACTTGACTAGCTCGTTAATCGAAGATGGTTATGTTTCCTAACCATAGACATGAGTTGTCATTTAATTAACGGTATCACATCATTAGGAGAATGATGTGATTGACATGACTCATTCCATTAGCTTAGCACCCGATCGTTTAGTATGTTGCAATTGCTTTCTTCATGACTTATACATGTTCCTATGACTATGAGATTATGCAACTCCCGTTTACCGGAGGAACACTTTGTGTGCTACCAAACGTCACAGCGTAACTGGGTGATTATAAAGGTGCTCTACAGGTGTCTCCAAAGGTACATGTTGGGTTGGCGTATTTCGAGATTAGGATTTGTCGCTCCGATTGTCGGAGAGGTATCTCTGGGCCCTCTCGGTAATACACATCACTTAAGCCTTGCAAGCAATGCAACTAATAAGTTAGTTGCAAGATGATGTATTACGGAACGAGTAAAGAGACTTGCCGGTAACGAGATTGAACTAGGTATTGAGATACCGACGATCGAATCTCGGGCAAGTAACATACCGATGACAAAGGGAACAACGTATGTTGTTATGCGGTCTGACCGATAAAGATCTTCGTAGAATATGTAGGAGCCAATATGAGCATCCAGGTTCCGCTATTGGTTATTGACCGGAGACGTGTCTCGGTCATGTCTACATTGTTCTCGAACCCGTAGGGTCCGCACGCTTAACGCTACGATATTAGTTTCATTATGAGTTTATATATTTTGATGTACCGAAGGTTGTTCGGAGTCCCGGATATGATCACGGACTTGACGAGGAGTCTTGAAATGGTCGAGACATAAAGATCGATATATTGGACGACTATATTTGGACACCGGAAAGGTTCCGGGTAAGATTGGGACAATAGCGGATCACCGGGAGGTTATCGGAACCCCCCGGGAGGTATATGGGCCTTATTGGGCCTTAGTGGAAAGGAGGGGAAAGGAGCAAGGGAGGGGGCGCCCCCCCAAGCCCAATCCGAATTGGGAAGGGGGCCGGCCCTCCCTTTCCTTCCTCCCTCCTTCCTCTTCCTTCCCTCTCCTACTCCTAATAGGAAAAAGGGGAGTCCTACTCCCGGTGAGAGTTGGACTCCCCCCTTGGGCGCGCCACCCTCCTTGGTCGGCCCCCTCATCCACTCCTTTATATACGGGGGCAGGGGGCACCCCAGAGACACAACAATTGATCATTGATCTCTTAGCCGTGTGCGGTGCCCCCCTCCACCATAATCCTCGATAATATTGTAGCGGTGCTTAGGCGAAGCCCTGCGACGGTAGAACATCAAGATCGTCACCACGCCGTCGTGCTGACGGAACTCATCCTCGACACTTTGCTGGATCGGAGTCCGGGGATCGTCATCGAGCTGAACGTGTGCAAAAACTCGGAGGTGCCGTAGTTTCGGTGCTTGATCGGTCGGGCCGTGAAGACGTACGACTATATCAACCGCGTTGTTATAACGCTTCCGCTTCCGGTCTACGAGGGTACATAGACAACACTCTCCCGTCTCGTTGTTGTGCATCACCATGATCTTGCGTGTGCGTAGGAATTTTTTTGAAATTACTACGTTCCCCAACAGCGAAAGCGGTTGGTGAGAGGACATTTCATCCCGCGCTTTCTCCCACAAACCACCTCTCCTCCCCCCTTGCGCCGCCGCCGGCCGCCGCCCAAGATTCAGGCGAACGCAGCCGGCAGGAGCACGCCGGAAGGCCGCCACGCACACGAGGCCTCCCCTCCCTCCCCCTGCGTCGGCGGGCCGCCGGATTTGCAGATCTACGACACTTCATCCCGGGCCGTCGGATTTGGTTTTTTCCGGCCGCCGGTTGCGACCTCAAGCGATGGAGTGGTCGGGGAGCCTCTCCCGCAGCCCAGGCAAGGGCGCATCGCTGCATGCAGGTATGGGTTCATCTGCCCGCCGCCGCCGAAGGTTTGCGGGCATGGACTCTTTTGGCCGTCCACCGGGCTCGGCGCTCGCGCAGCGCCTTTGTGGCTTGCTAATGCCGCTCATAGAGTGTGACAACTGCACGAGGAAAGTGTTGCCGCTCACTTCGAGCACGCTGAAGCACCCCGAATGGGTGTTCTTCAAATGCGAAGACGACGGGGTACGTGCACTTGCGGTAGCTCGTTTCGTAGTTCATTCTCTAGTTCAATTGCGGTAGCTCACTTCGAGCTTACTCATTCTTTTGTGTAGGATGATGGATACTCATTTTGGTTTTGGGAAGGCCAATACATTGATTTGTTGATAGAAAGAAACTTAATAAATGTTAGTGTACTCCTTAGTACAATCGAAGGCAATGATGTGGCTGCATGTGCAACTAGAGGGGAAGCAACATCTACTTCTTCTGAACCAAAGATGAAGAAAGAAGAATGCAAAATCAAGAATCCACGGATCAACAACGGAAGAAGATATTAGTCCAACTAGTGGGAGCAGTTATGGAAGTTGGAAATCTTTTAAAATACAAACTTGTAGTTTTCGTTTTCTTTGATCTTGCTATTCTAGCAAAGATTTGGTGATATCTTTTGTATCAAATGTTGTTAAATAAGAAAAGTAATGCAATATGCAAGATCAAATTAAGTTGTAAATTTAAGTTTTACAGGCCGGAAGGAGCTGCGCCCGGTCACACGCCGCAACCCCAACCCGCAATCAAAGAAAGAAGAATGCAAAATCAAGAATCCACAGATCAACAACGGAAGAAGATATTAGTCCAACTAGTGGGAGCAGTTATGAAAATTGGAAATCTTCTAAAATGCAAACTTGTAGTTCTCGTTTTCTTTGATCTTGCTATTCTAGCAAAGATTTGGTGATATCTTTTGTATCAAATGTTGTTAAATAAGAAAAGTAATGCAATATGCAAGATCAAATTAAGTTGTAAATTTAAGTTTTACGGGTCGGAAGGAGCTGCGCCTGGTCAGACGCCGCAACCCCAACCTGTAAAAAAGCATATTCCGGGAATATTCTTTTTTACGGGTCTATTATGCGGGGTCTGCATACGCGGCCGTCCGCGCCGGCCCGCAAAAGCGTTTTCCGCGACCTGCAAAAATGTTTTGCGGGTTGGAAGGATGCGGGGTCTGTTAGAGTTGCTCTAATACACAGGTCTAACATGCTTCTGCAGATTGACAACGGAATAGAATAAGAGCAGATGGACTCGTGTCTTCAAGGAATGCAAAACCACACGTGACATAGGTGTAATCTGGGATGAATAGAATTTCACTCTAAAGCGTCTCTATTTGTGTTCGACGGATTTTGCAAGAGCAGTTCTATATCTTACCTTTTATATACCTATCTTTATCTTTACCTACTAATAAACCAGCGATCGTTTTTGGTCGTCCGTCATCAGGCATTTTGCAAAGAAGTCCCTCAATTTGTCAGAATTCAACCTGCAGTCCTATCTTAAGTGGATGTCCGAGAAAACGTTTCAATTTTGCACAAAACACCCTGGCGTTCGGAGTATTCAACGCGCGGTCCGAGCAGCTTTGTAAAGAGAAAAAAACACAACCACACACGCATGGGCTCGACTCCTCTCCCTCTCGCCCATGAAGTCACCGCCGCCGCCGCCCACGCCGGCCGCTTCCGGCGAGCTCCGGCGCTGCGCAGCACAGCCCCGAGCTCCCCATGCTCCGCGCCTCCCTCCCCTCCGGCCAGATTCTCATCTCCCGGCCTCTACCGCCCGCTCGCAACCACACCCCCGTGGCTAGGGTTCCGGGCAGTTCTTCGCCGGCGCGTCTCCGGCAGCCCCAGGTTTGTCCCTCCTTCCTTCTTGGCCGGGATCCGCCACCCCTAGACCTCATCTTCTCGTCATATCCTCTGCTGCAGATGCAGATGGAGCACGCCATGGGAGTTCCCCATCCACCATGGTCGCTGTCGTCAAGGGCTTCTTCAAGGAGATGTGAAGGACGCCATCGACCTGCAGCTACTCAAGGTTTTATTCCACCTTTCCTCTTATATCAAGTTCTAACAGTACATTGGGGGAGTGGGGGTGGAGAAGGCACCCCACCTGAATTTTCATTTCTCAAGTCTCAAGCGGCGACAGTACCCGGCAACACGAGTACAGGGAGTGTTTTTACTGGTTACGTCCAAAGTGGAGAACTAAGAACAACAGCCTCAAGGAAACTATACGGAGAGAGCTAGGAGGATTGGTTTCCAGTCCAGGAGTGAGCTCCTGTCTTTTGATTTGAAATGAAACGCCCACTGGGAGAGGTCTGCAGCTGCTGCTTTCGTGAGGCTGGTCATGGAGGGGCGCATGCCCTGAGGTGGGTGGGTGTTAGCTATGACGAGAAAACATATGAAGTTTCTGCTATTGTTAAGCCTGATGTCGAAGAGTTGGAAATGATTTGTGAATCTCTGTGCACGTAAATGGAACATTGGACAAGTTAAGCCATGTGTATTCCATCTCCTTTAATATATTGCTTGTGATTGGCCTAATAGAGAGTCTGCAAGACGTGATTTGTACTCAAAGCATCTCATCCAGATCACTTTACAATACTTTTCTTCATATCTAGAAAATGCATGTATGCATATAAGTTTCGTGAACAATTTTTTTGAATATCCAGGTCACTTTATGCATATCCAGATCACTTTACAAACAGAACAAATGCGTGTATTCCTTTTTCATCATATCCATATCTAGAAAAGCATTCCTCCATGTAATAGGGTTTTTGAAAGCAGTATGCATATATGTTTCGTGAACAATTTTTTTTTGTTATTGCAACCATAAGAAAGAATCTTACTGGATTGTCCTGGAAAATATTAGTCATCTATTGCCGATAATTAGATCCGTGTTAACTCAATAGGGCGATCTAGCGAGTTATCTTGAGACAAAAAGTCGCCTGCAATCTTATAAAGTGATCAGATTTGCCCCTGAGACTGCAAGGTATGTTAGGATTCATAACATATGTATCTTCTTTTCCTATTTTTTTCCTTTTAAAGCTGTAACTACCATTTGAGAATTGACTTAAACTGCTCGCATTAGTGCATCATTTTGTATTCACCTGAAAATAATGTAGCATTGACTGAAACTGCTCACCATTTGAAGTATTGACTGAAACATTAACTACCATTGAAGTATTTTCTTTATTTTTTTGACTAGAAAAGCATGAAGATGAATTAAGTTGATTCATGTAGATGAAATGGTTTTCCATTTCCATTTGTGTCGTTTCAGTGAAACAAAATGATATTGCAGCTCTTTTCATTTATGTCTTGTTTCATTGCATTATTATCTTCCATGATTTCTTTTTCACCAATACATTTTGTTGCATATATGGAGGCCATCTACTTTTCTGCTGATATTTGTTATTATATCATCTTGTTTGCGAACTTAAAAAGGTCCCTCAAAGAGAAGCGTTTTTCATATGCTCCTGAATCTGGTGTGCGGTATGATGGAGTTTACAGATTGAGAACTGTTGGAGGAAGACTGGTATTCAGGTAATTTTACTTTACTTCCTGGACAGAGGTTCCACATGCTGCTCTCTACTTTGTTCCTGTACAAGGCCAGAGCTACTATAAGGTGATGATATGCCACAGTGTGCAGTTTGCTTTATGTTCGTTTTGTTCATTTGATTGACCCTGAAAAAACTGATTCCACCGCATCTCTTTATGACAACATGTTGTCCTTTGGTTTCACTTCCTGTAATGTCCGTAAGGTTAGTTTTAAAGAGATGTATGATTCTATTCAGTTCTAATTTTAGAAGAACAAACAATTGTTAAAGAATGCCCATTACTACTGGTTCTGATATGTAGAGGGATGGCATTTGTTCATTTGATTGCTAAAGCCAACATCTAAATAGTGAAGGACGTAACTGATAAATCATCACAACAATTCCCGGCGCAGCAAAGCGCGCATGTTCATCTAGATCCAAGCAGCTCTTTTCAGATCAATTAAGGAATCAATCTCACGATGGTTTATGCTTGATGCAGCGGAGGGTCACAGATTCACAGGTGTAAGGATCGGTACAATTAGGCCTCGCATTATTTTTTCCAGAATTGGGTGTGCGTACTCTCTAAACTGATTTGAGTGAGCTAAATCTGTGCATCTAAATTGTAGTCTGTAGCTTTATGTGTTACTCCCTCCGTTCCAAATTACTTGTCGTGGTTTTAGTTTAAATTTGAATAAGGTTCAAGTTGAAGATTGCCTTTGGGAGTAGTTTTAGTTGGTAGAAGTTTCAGGCTACAAATACGCACACATTATGTGCTTAATGTGTGGCATAAACATGATCAGCTTTATGTTTAGAAACCAAATCACTGTCCACCCATTTTATTTCTTCATGAGTATTTTGTGTTGAAATCAGATCACCGTTCACCTTTCTGTGTATTGTTGTCTTTAATTTTTTTTTGCTGATTCTCAATAAAATGCTCAGTTTCAGGATGTGATTTTCAGTTTTAGGCATTTGGTACTTTCGGCATCGAGAAAAAAATTGTTCCTCTGAGCGTGTACCTTCAAATGCAAAGTTCTGACTATGATTTCACGTGCAACCACAGCGCCGTTGGCCGCTCTGCCTACCGAGTGCCACCCCGCCGCCTCCTCCCACCCCCCACCTGGGACCTCACCGCCTGCTCCCCGCCCGGCACACCCACAACGCTTGAGGCTGAGCAGATGCCATTGGCCCGTGGGCACGGAAGCAAAGTCCAGGATGGTGATGGTGCCAAGGAGGACTCTCGGACGTCGACCGGTTGCATCGTTGCTGCCGTATCCATGGAGTGGCGCGGCTCCAACCACTCTGAGATGGTATTCCTCTCTCTTTCTTTCCTGACAGAACTAAGAATCTTGTGTCATCCTCTTTTTTAAATAAAGTACAACCTGCTAGCTACTTGATGGGCACTGTCTCTGAACTTTTCAACCCCTTCAGTTCTGCCGATGCACTGTAGACTCTAACAATGGTGGAAAGGAATCAGATTCCAATAAACTAGCACTACTGTGTTTTTACACAGTTGCCTTTTTTGCTAAAATAACTAGCTTCTTCATGGTAGAGTAGGTACAAAGATACTCTCTGATGAATTTTGTTGGTATTGTGTAAAGTAGAAAGCCTGACACTACTTCGTTGGTAACTGAGTTAACCAATCGCAGAACTAGAAACAAGTAGGTGACAGGAAGATTTGTGGATTGTGAAACTTTTACTCAATCTTATCCCCAGGCCGCACAACATTTTCTTTAGCAAAGGTGTCTCTGTTGCTGAGATTCTTACACATGGTTGGGAGTCGGCGCAAAGTACATGGACACATTGGTGCTATATTTTAAAATTGTGAAACAGCATCCAAGCTACTCCCTCCGTTTCAAAATACTTGACTTCCATTTGTCCAAAAATGGATGTACCTATATACTAAAACATGTCTAGATACATCTATATTTTGACAAATGGAAGGCATGTATTGTGGAACGGAGGGAGTACTTGTGAAGGTGTCAATTTCTGCATTGATAAAGATTCAATTATACTTCTGATGGGATTTTTTCTGTTAGCTATCTGTACAAGAGAATGAACTTGAGAAATATTAATTTCTAGATAAATTTCTTTGGAAAGTGAAGCTTCCCCTGAAAATTAAAGTTTTTCATGGCTGGTTTTGAAAAAATAAACATACTTACTAAAGTCAATTTATTCAAACGATGTTTTCAGGGAGATAAAACCTGTCAATTACGTGGTAGAGATGAGATTATTGACCACTTAATTGCTGGTTGCTAAGTTGATCTAAACCATTTTGCAATGTGCATTGAACCCAAAAACTCTACCTGATACTGTTGTGACTTATTTAGCTCTTGGTTGTTGTATTATGTATTGTTCTGAAGGAGATTAGATCTTCAGAAGAAACTCCAATGCATCGAATATTAAAAGAAAATCATGAAGACTCACATGCATATTGTTCACCAGGCTCATCAATGGCATCATACGACTCGTAACACCACCGACTTGATCACAAATCAGTCGTTGGTTGCATGCCGTAGCACTATCAGTTCCTTGTGGTGATCGTGGTTACTGTTTGTTTGTGGTGCAGAGGAATCAGTACAACAACAGAACTTGAAGCTGACAAGGATGGATGATGGTTGGTTTTGGTGGAGAGATCGGGTGCATATGAACAACCTATTATCTTCCTTTTCTGTTTTTCATCATTCAACGGGACAATTTCCTAATTCTTTTTTAGTACTGTCTGGAAAGGTTATTAGTACATATAGGTTTGTCAAAATTTATTAGCACATATGAGGTTCTTTGTTTGGACCCCCTTTGGCTCTACATAATTCTTTGGAGTGGGATTCTAGATAGATGCTTTTATTGATTTTCTCCCATTGCAACGTACGGGTATGTTTACTGTAATAATAAAGTCAGAAGGAGAAGGGCGAGGTCCAGATGGAGCTCTACCAGTTCCGCCGCTTTCATATCTCGACTGTTGCTGCTAGCTCTACTCTGCTCAACGATAAATTCTGTGTGGTTAGTTAATTTACTAGGTAAATTGCATGGCTCAGTAGCATGCACACATGAACGCTCAAGTTACATGTTTGGTCAGCCATTCCCTGGCAGCCTATGGCTAGGCTTCCCAGAAGATTCCTTCTACATAACACATGTTATGTGTTGCCGAGTCGTACAGCTGCATGAATTGGGCAATATGTATTTTGGATTGGGTTCAAAGAGGAAATTGTTGATCATTTGTATCAACTATCTATGACCTCAAGTTCACATGAGTCGTGCTTCTTTACCTTCACGACATATGACACTCAGCAGATCAATTGGTGTCATCTCCAGATTCCTCTCATCATGTTGTTTCATTTATTTTAACAAGTTTCACTCGGAGATACATGCATGAAACATGGTATTTTTTTAGTGCGCATCAAACATAGTTAAGATTGCTTTTGTTGTGAAAAAGAAAAGTTATTGTTCTAAAGATCTCTATTCTGAATCCTAGATCTCATGCTTGATTTTTTTGCATAAGTTTTTTAGGCCTGATGAGTATCAAATGCCATGAGAAATTCAAAAAATATATATTCATGTTTTTATGAACAATAATAAGTAAGATCGATTTAAAGACTATTCTATGTGACTACTCGTTCATCAGATGAAAGTGCAGAGCTAAAGTAGGTCTTCGGTCTTGGCGAACGCCGTTAGGATGGCTTCTTCACGTCTGAATTTTATGGTCCAAAATGCTATGCTCAATATAATCTTATTTTTGACGTTTGCCAAAATTGGATATAAGAGGTGTTGCACAATGCTATGTTTTAAATATTTTCGCCCGTTGCAACGCACGGGCATTTGTACTAGTATATACTAATAAAGCATGGGCTGTTTCTGGTTGTCCATTACGCCATTTTACTAATAAATCCCTCAGTTTTCTGTAAATCAACCCGCAGTATACATTTAAGTTACAACCGAACCGTTTTTTCTCAGTTTCTCAGAAAACCCCCTGACGTTTTAGACAATCAACCCGCCATCCATATTTAAGTCAGCCGAAACGTTTTTTTAGTTTTAACAGAAAACCCCTTCACGTTTTGGTTAATCAATCTACAGTTTATGTAAAATAAGATTATTCATATCTTTTAAACCGTAACTTAGATTTTAACATGTTATATATGAAACTAGATTAGAAAAATATATAGAATCTAAATATGAAGTTATTTTTAGCTGTTAAATATTTCTAAAATATAATTTTTGATGCAAACTTAATATATAGTGTATGGTCTGTTTTTTTGTACCGTCGGTGATTCGAATTGCAAATAAACATCTATTAAAACCAGAGTGAGAGAAAAAACATCGAGAACCATGCATACACAACTATGAAAAACCTTGCGGGAAAAAAACAACATACTTTTTATCTTATTCCAAGCGAGTGTGCGCACATGCGCGCGCGCAAAAGAAAGAGACATTAAGACTAACCACATTCAAACGTGTTTTCATTGTGTGAGCACAGAAGTCACTCGGCAACACAAATGTGATGCCATGTGAAACTAAAAGACGTGGGCCTATTAATGTCTTGAGTCATGGTTATTGGGTTAAGAGTGTGTGTTATTTTCTTTCCCTTTGCAATGCATGGGCTTTTTTTCGAGCAAGTGTGTGAGTATAGAGGAAATACAAATGTGATGCCATGTGAAACTAAAAAATACGGGCCTATTAAGGTCTTGAGTCATGGTTATTGGGTTAAGAATGTGTGTTATTTTCTTTCCCGTTGCAACACACGGTTTTTTTGGCTAGTTTATATGAATGAAAGGATAAATAATTTATACTCCACATAGCCAACGAAGAGGCGATACTGACAAAAAATAAAGCACGCCGATACTGACAAAAAATAAAACACGCCCGGTGGGACTCGAACCCACAATCGCTTGATTAGAAGTCAAACGCCTTATCCATTAGGCCACGGGCGCTCTGTGCTATTACGTTCCACTTAAGTTTAATTATCCTTGTCTGAGCAGTTTCTCGAACGCGCACTCCACCATTCGGTAGAGAAGAGAAGTCCATGATCCGATCACCCATCCATGAAGAAGCGCATATACAGTTTTATCCATGACTTGTTGCAGCCAAGCCCTTGCGTAGGTCGACCAGCCTATCACAAACTGGACCCCAAAAAAATCACTAAACGTGCATCATTTTTTAACACAGTACAGACGCAAGCGTTTATATACACACACATACACTCATCCGAATGAACGTATACATGCACCCTACCTCTATGAGCACCTTCGAAAGACTGAGCCGGTATATCATCTTGAAATTTATAAAGTCACCATAGGCACCTCGTCGTCGACGGGAATGTCTCATCCTGATGGGTTTGGAATACCACAGTCTCTCTAACCATTCAATCACAGATTGGTTCGCCTAAACGTGCACCGTTGATGAGGGGAAAAGTTTGTTGTCTCGGAAAACCAATATCCATCATGTGTGACATGTCACCCCAATAGACCTAGTTTTTTTTAAAAAAAAACTTTCGATCCATTCATTATGCCATGGCAGTACAAAGAACACATAAATAAAAAAAAGTTGCATTCATGTCCATAGACCACCTAGCGACGACTATAAACACTGAAGTGAGCCGAAGGTGCACCGCTGTCATCGCTCCTCCCTCACCGGAGTCGGGCCAAACTTGTTGAAGTAGAAATTCAGGAAGTCATTGTGCTATGGCCCCATAAGATTAGCGCATCAGAACAGTAACCGTTGATGATACACGAAAGAAGATGGACAAAACCTGGATCCGAACAGATCCATCGAGGATCAGCTACGATCGAATCCGCCGGAGACACACCTCTACACACCCTCTCACAACACTAGACACATCACGGAAACGGGGCAAAGCGGAGAGAATCTTATCGCATCCTCATGAAGCTGCCACCGTCTCGTCTTCCTAAGCAGAACATAACCATAATCAAACTCATAAAAACACCTAAAACCAGAGCAAGATCCTTCCGGCCTGCAAGGGCCGTTTTCCACCCTGTTTAACTTCATAAATAGACCTATGTTTGATTTCATAACTCGCCCTTTCACTTTTATTATCCAATTTTACAACGGCAAAACAAAATGTGAGTTAGAACTCCTCGCATAGTAGTAAACAGAAATAGGCCACATGTCACCTAACCGCAGGTGACACATGCGGCAACGAGATCAACACCAACTCCGCCCCCATCGCCTGCTCCTCCTCCTCCTCGCCGCCGCCGGGGGAAGCAAGTGCAGTGGCGGGCTGCGGAGCCTCTCTTTCTATTTGCTCCAGTAGCTCCTCATGCGATGGCCCGCAGTGCGTGTAGCACCAAGGCGGCGGACGACAAAGCCCCGACGACGACTGGCGGTGGTCATTAGATCTTCGGACGACGACAATTGT